TTTCAAAACTTTATTATCACACTTTTCTTATCACTGAAATGCAGTCTACAATTTTAATTTTTCTTAAAGAACATGATATATAAACTATTAGAAACCCTACAGATATATATTGACACTAAATTAAACAATCAAACGTTTTGTGAATATATCACCAAATATGTTAACTAAAATAATTAGAGTAATTAAGAAACATTACAATTGAACAAAATAAAACTAAAGTAAATGTAATTATTACAGTATATAAATATGGATAAAAAATACTAAAAATAACCCCTTATATGCAACCAGTTTCCAAACTTCATTGGTTATTTAATTAAGCATTACATAGAATACCTGGATTTTACAATATAATAAAGTATCTATAGCAAAAGACCAATATCAAATTTTACAAATAACCAAAAATGCGTGAATTCCATACGTACATAGTAAATTCGAATTACAACAGAACAGCAGTAGGTTTTACATTAATACATTTATTCAATGTTAATATTGATTCATATTTCTTCTCGATAAAAGTTATTAAACTGACACAAAAATATTTCTCTTGTACATAACGATAGCAACGACGACCCAAAGCGCAGTGCCCCACAGGTTCATGCCCAAATAAGCCCCGTGCGTTGCTACAGTGGGAATCCAAGAGAAAGGGAACGTATTTTTAAATACAACGTGCCCTATATACAGAATAAGTGCGTTCATTCCTGGATAAAAGAAGGGGCGTCCGCCCCATTTACGTGTCACGTCGACAACAACGAAAAGAAAAGCTTCTAAAAAGAAAGCAAAGGAGGCTGTAACTAAAACAAACGAGAGAGACCAAAGATTCTTGTTAACTGGTATAACACCGTCGTTTTTCGAAAAATTGGACAGCCATCCACCCATGAGTCCCTAAAAATAGAATTGAAAAGCAACTGTAATATGTTTGAAGTCTTAAATAATATTAAACCCATAACTTACTGTTAGTATGCCCCAAATACACCATCGAATAACTCTTTCCTTAAATCCATTGTATGCAAGTAAGATTCGGCCTGCGTGTGCTCCTAAATACACTGTCAGTGTTGCTGTTAAAGTCCCCAAAATTCCTGTAAAAATATCCAATATTTTAGCGCACCTCTAATTTTTGTAATCTATTTTTTAAAAAAGAGAAAGAAAGAAGGCTCTTATTCTCCTGATACATATTTTTATTTGTCACAATTTTTATTTACCTTCAGGATCAAAATACTGAACAGTTTCATAAAGCTTATGACATGTGGGAGTATGATACATATGATTCCCAAAGAATAGTCTATCCAAGTACCCTGCAGCTCCCCCAGTACAGTTAAAGTATTTTCCGTGCTGATCCAATCCACCAGGACCCAAATAACCCTTACCACATCCTGGTACGTTCAAAGCAAAAGTAATGCTTGTATGAATGATAACAAAAGCAATCATTACAAGCCAATGATGCCAGGATACCAATAGATCTTGAACAATCCATAATCTTCCAAACTAACAAAAGTAAAGTGATTAATTTATTACACTATAGCATACAATCAAAAATTACCTCAGCAGAAGTTCTTTTACAAGTACACAATTCCAAAGAAGCAACTATAAAGTATGTAACACCAATTCTTTGTAAAACGCCAGGAAATCTGAGCTGTGAAATAGGAACATTTCTGCCATGAGAATTTAGAACTAAACCTATCAATATTAATATTAACGATCGCCAACATATATTATTAAACAATTGTCTGCAAGGGGCTCCTTCTCTTAACTTTTTATCCATTGATATCATCATTGAAACGCCCATTATCCATAAAAACCTGTAAAAAATTAATTAAACCCAGCAAGTGATTACCAGTTAAATGTAGCAAAGCTGTAACTAATAACTTATACCTTTTGCCTTTAACTTACCAGGGAAACACAAGATCAGCAACAGTAAGCCCATTCCAGGGTGAATGTTCGAAAAAAGAATACTTTCCTCCACCATAATTTACAAATATCATAAGAATTATAGAAAGTCCCCTGAACACATCTATAGATTTGACTCTGTATGGGTGTTTTTTAACAGGAGGGGGCAAACGCTCGACAACTAAGGGCATTCCATCATTACGAGGGGTACCCAAATCCTATTGAAGATTCAATAATCATTGTAAGTCCAAAAGTTTGCAATGTGTGTGTGATCATATTCATGACATTTGACCCTATTATTCATTTTATTATGTTTACCTAATTATTTTTTCTTGCTCATATCTAAATTACATAAGTAGATTAAATTTTATACAGTATTAGTATTGAACCAATAAAAATGAATAGTCAAAAATATTAAACTACAGATAACTTTTAATTTCACTAAAATAGTGCCAAGATTGATGAAAATTAATTTTAAAAAAGTAATGCTCACCGTTTGAATTTCAGTTGACCAAGGAACATATCTCCTGACCAAACTTAAATGTTTAGTGCATTTATAAATGCATTTAATCATATACCAAATTGTTCCAAAAAGGAAAAGGATTATCATAGCAGTTAAAACAGCTAAAAATATATATGTATACTACAAAGGTATAAAAGTGAAAACAACAGAGCCAGTGAACAACTTACGCAAATAGGCATTGTCTGCAGGTACTTTTATCTTAATTCCACAAGTATTTAAATCAGTTACATTCCACTCATATCGATAATGCTCATAGTACAAATTGGAAGATCTACGGATATCAACAATTTTTGTACATCATACATTTTAATTACTTAGTTTAGATTTTAAAGCAAACAAAAATATTACAACTTACACACAATTAAGAGTATTGTTGACTTTAAAAGCAGTAAGCATAGGATATTTGGTATTCACAAGAATATTAGCTGTACTGTTTGGAAATACTTCTGCCAATTTTTGGAAATCACACTTGGTGCACTCTGCATATTGGCCAAATATTTCGATATTTTGGGACAAGAAGTTGTTTACATCCAGACAAGCCTCATCATACGACAGCTCGGGTTTAGATGAGGCACATTTATTTTGATTATCAAACAACATTATTTAAATATTGCCTGGTAGAATGCACTTTACTTGGGGAAAACACAGGAAACTAAATCCACAATTAATTTACTATTATATATGCAGGATTTATTATAAATTTGTCACATTATTTCAAACAGGCTAGCAGTAGCTGCGGCGCAAAAAATGTATAAAAAACCAAAAACTTTATAAAACGCAGGGCCAACCGTTTCTTTTCTGATGTACAAGTTTTGGACTTTCTGTTTATAAAATTACTTTATTATCACGTGAAAAATGAGTCATGAAATATACCATATAAACACAAACACAAACATTAATGCAAAAATGACATGAGATTGACGTAAATGACATCTTTAGTCAGATGATACCTTGCCCTTTAGTAACTCCTTCATTTAGCCGTAGATAAAACAACAATAAAAGAGTATAATGGCCGACAACAGCAACAGTAGGACAACAATTACAAAAGCATAATGGCCGACGACAGCAACAATTCAGAAATTAAAAAAAGTATGATGGCCGACAACGTCAACAATAGGGCAACAATTACAATAGTATATAGGCCGACAACAGCAACAATGGGACAACAATTACAGAAGTATAATGGCCGACGACAGCAACAATACAACTTTCTGAATCTGGATAATGGGTTAAAAATTCACAAGCGCTTATTTATCATTAAGTTGGCGGATTCATAACTATTTCATAAAATTTCATTTTACAGGAACATTATAAAAGCTGTGGACGTTATGTATTATAGGGCACATCAGTCCTTCACTCCTGGATGTAGCGGTGCCTTAAGGAAATATAAAATATGGCTTTTTCCACTGGAAACAGATGCATTGTGTTGTTGTTGCTAAATGAAGGATATGTAACAATCAATTGGTAAGTGACAACATTGATTAAGATAGTAGATCTCAAATATTCATTAAATTAATTATCTCAGGAAAAGTTTTATATTATCATGCACCTACTTCGTAGGGATGCCAAATGAACTACATCTGAATACTCTTTTATAAGATTTCATTTTACAGGGACATTATAAAAGCTCTGGAGGCCATGTGTTATGGGGCACATCAGTCCTTCTTGACTCCTGGATGTAGTGGGAAGGATTAATGGAAACAGATGCTGTATGATGCTGTTGCTAAAGACAGGATTCATCAAAATGAATTGGTAAATAACAGCATTGATTAAGATAGTAAATCTGTATTATTCATTAAATTATCTCAGAAAAAGGTTTACAGTACCATTCACCTACTTCATAGGGATGCCAAATAAACTACATCTGAATACTCTTGTATAAGATTTTATTTTACAGGGACATTAAAAAAGCTATGGAAGCCATGTGCTGTGAGGCATATCAGTTACTCTACACTCCTGGATATAGTGGTGTCTCAGAGAAAGGATTAATGGAAGCAAATGCTACATGTTGCTGTTGCTAATCGAAGAATTTATCACAATGAATTGGTAAGTAACAACATTGATTAAAGATAGTAGACCTGTAATATTCATTAAATTATCTAAAAAAGATTTTACATTACCATGCACCTACTTCGTAGGGATGCCAAATTAACTACATCTGAATACTCTTTTATAACATTTCATTTTACAGGGACATTATAAAAGCTCTGGAGGCCATGTGTTATGGGGCGCATCAGTCCTTCTTGACTCCTGGATGTAGTGGTGTCTCAAGGAAGGATTAATGGAAACAGATGCTGTATGATGCTGTTGCTAAAGACAGGATTCATCAAAATGAATAGGTAAATAACAGCATTTATTAAGACAATAAATCTGTATTACTCATTAAATTATCTCAGAAAAAGTTTTATATTATCATTCACCTACTTCATAGGGATGCCAATTTAATTACATCTGAATACTCTTTTATAATATTTCATTTTACAGGGACATTATAAATGCTCTGGATGTCATGTGCTGTGGGACATTTCAGTTATTCTACACTCCTGGATTTAGTGGTGTCTCAAGGAAGGATTAATGGAAGCAAATGCTACATGTTGCTGTTGCTAATAAACGGATTTATCAAAATGAATTGGTATGTACCAACACTGATTATGATAGTAGATCTCAAATATTAATTATCTCAGGAAAAGTTTTATATTATCATGCACCTACTTCGTAGGGATGCCAAATTAACTACATCTGAATACTCTTTTATAAGATATTTTTTCAGTGCCAGGTCCAGAACATAAAAACCCTACGAAGTATGTGACATACATGGTAGAAGTGTTACATTAAGAAATATGCTTTCAGATTCTATTTGAATATCATCTATATCGTATAAAATCATATCCAATTTCTTGATCAGTTCGCGTTTATTGTAAAATACTTAACAATGTGTTAGACACGTTATTAACTAGGAAGGCTAAATTAATTATATTTGAATACTTTTTCACAAGATTTTATTTTACAGGGACATTATAAAAACTGGCAGATGTCATTAAATTACGAAGGATTAGATGTGTCAGTCCTCATTCGTTCCAGAAAGTAGTTGTACCGATGCGATGGTCCCAAAGATAACATGAAATTATTTTTTGCATTGGAAACGGAGACACTTTGCTGTTGCTACAGAAAGGAATCATGATAATGAAGTGGTAAGTAACTTCAGTAGATAACTTTTAAATGTATATGTGAAAGTTAGCTTTAAACAAACTATTTATACATATATTTTATTTTAATATGAGAGTTACATATTTCGGAAAAACGAACGTTAGATATGTAAGTTTTCAACATAACACTATTTAAAGTGTATTTTTACCCAAGCGTTCCTCGATACTATTGGTCAGAAAAGCCAGCTTAGCTTTGATACTTTGTAATTTATAACACTATTTGTTTCGCTTATTAAAGAATAGTACATTGTGTATCTATTATTTTACCAATCGTCTGTTTCTAACTTTACCACCACATTGCCACTTTAAAATATAACTGATTTACTTCCTTTAAATGTGATAATTAATTATTTTGTCTTGCCCTTTTGTATAGGTTGTCCCAAGAATTAGATGGAATTGCAATTAATGTGATGTTTTTGGACTTGAAAAGGGGAAACAACCGCAAATCAATTTGGATGCCACTGAAACAACAAATTGTCTGCAGTGATATCCCTTTTGGATTTGGTTTGCTCATCACACTTGTGGACTTTAGAACGCTACTTTCTACAGTTAATTAAGGTGAGAATGTATGACATTATTATTATTAATTGCTGGTTATTAATCTGTTGCCACCCTATCTGTTTCAGGTCAACGGTGGAGAAGACAAAGAAGACCCCGTAGTTAAAATAGTTCTCTATCTTGCATGCTCTGTGTAGTAGAATTCATCAAGTTCATTTTATTCAAATTAGTTTTTTATTTTACATGTTTTTTTTTCGTAGTTTATTTTAATTAGTTTTTATTTTGCATGCTTATTTTTGTTCATTTTATTTGAAGTAATTGTTGATTGTAGATGTTTTTATTTTTTTTTATATGTAATAATAGTGTAGTAGTAGAACTAACAAGTTCAGTAGTTGTAGCATAGTCTAACATGTCTCTTGCTTACCTCTTCGCTTAGCTTACTGCATATTCTTACTATAAATTGCTTTGCATTTACCCTACGAATTCTACATGATTCAACGTTTCGTTATCGTGTGTGTTTCTTCTCACCCTTGTGGAATTAGGGAGGGCCTCCCCGAACGACTTCCCTTGGGCTTAGCTATTTAGTTGATCTTAAAAGTGTCTTATACACTTTTCGCGAGTCTACTCTAGCGTTACTTCCTTTCAGACAGGGTACAGTGGGTTATCTGGAATAGGAGCAATAGGCGACTGCCCAGCTTGCCTTGGCG